TACATAGCAGTGCTAGTTCTAAATGCATCGAGGGTTTGCCATGGTGAACTTTTTCGATTGTTGTCTACGTGGAAGATGATGCGACGGTTTCGGTGCTACTCGCCGATTGATGATGAACCTTGGTGAGCCCTTAGTGATTTGTTGTCGCCTTTGTGATGAAGGTACAGGTTGATGCTGTCTTGGTTGGCCACGGGGGTCATAGGTTTCCTTCTTGTGGAGCTTGGACCCCGCGAGGCTCCACACAGCTCTGAGCGCGAGTTTCTCCTAGAGCGCCTTCGTGTTCTTGTTCTTAGCGAAGCTTCTTTGGCATGAGGCTGATTGCCCACTTGTAGGAGGGTGGGATTGAAACTCCTCTTGGATTATTGGTGGACGGAGCCATAGCCCTTGTCAACTTTGCTTCAGCTGAATCTTCGCCCGAGGGTTGCTAGATATATGCGATCCTCGGGGCTTGCATAATTGAGCGGAGGTGTTGGCAATCCCTTCGCTCTGGGGCTCGAGATTGGTAGCGAGGGAGCACTCAGGGGGATGTTACATTTTTTCTTGTGGTATCCTCCGAGTGCTCTAGGCTTTGGGACTGCGTTGATTGGGCTCGCGAATGAGATTGTTCCAGCTATCACTAGCGTTACGTTTGTTCTTGTGGTACCCTTGTTTGGATTGTCGAGGGTGGGGTTTGGTGGTTTTTTAGGCGGGGCTTTTCTCTTGCGAGGGTTTGGAGGTTTAAGAGGCATTTTCGAGTGTGGGGAGGTTGAGGATTGTGGCTATTGCTGTGGTTGCTGATCGACCCATTGGGTGGATTGGGGTGGTATTTATAGGGTGAACTGGCTGTTGGATTTTGGTGTGGCAGTTTGTTTTTAATGTTGATTGGGTGGGTGGTTTGTTTATGGAGCATTTAATCTCAGTCGATTCGTTTCTCGATGTAGTGGTGAATGTGGCTGGTTTATGAGAGATTGATGTTTTGTTGGTGAGGTTGGTGTGTGGAGTGAATGCCTCGTTTGAGGTGTTTGGTCTTGTTTTTGAATTTTGACGATTGATTTAGTATTCTTGTGGGCCCCCTTTTGTTTTTGTGTTATTGGATTTTGAATCGGCGGTACGAGGATGCCCTTTGGTTAGAGTTCTTTTACTTTATGAGGGTGTTCACGTGCTTTGACCCTCGTTTCCGTCCTTTTGTTTTGAGGATGGGTGGCACTGTGTCCATCTTTGTGTCTTGGGGATGTGGGGGGTTTACGTTGTGAGCCCCTGACATTTTTCCGAGGGTGCACACTTGTTTTGACCTCCGTGTCCGTCCCTATCTTGAGGGCGGGTGGGGTTTGAATTTTGTGAGCCCCTGGCACTTTGCGAGGGTGCTCACTTGTTTTGACCTCCGCGCCAGCCCTTATCTTAAGGGCGGTTGGGGTTTGCTTTTTGTGAGCCCCTTGGCGCTTTGTGAGGGTGCTCACTTGTTTTGACCTCCGCGTCCGTCCTTATCTTAAGGGCGGGTGGGGTTTGCTTTTTGTGAGCCCCGGGCGCTTTGCGAGGGTGCTCACTTGTTTTGACCTCTGCGTGCGCCCTTATCTTGAGGGCGGGTGGGGTTTGCTTTTGTGAGCCCTTGACGCTTTGCGAGGGTGCTCACTTTTTTTACCACAGCGTCCGTCATTATCTTAAGGGCGGGTGGGGTTTGCTTTTGTGAGCCCCTAGCGCTTTGTGAGGGTGCTCACTTGTTTTGACCTCCGCGACCGTCCTTATCTTAAGGGCGGGTGGGGTTTGCTTTTGTGAGCCCCTAGCGCTTTGTGAGGGTGCTCATTTGTTTTGACCTCCGCGTCCGTCGTTATCTTAAGGACGGGTGGGGTTTGCTCTCTGTGAGGTTTGGAGGAATGTTTTGTACCAAGCGGGGGTTGGGAGGTTGAAGACCCTACTTGGTATAAATCTTTACCTGTGCTTTTTCGTCGATGAGGGTGGGTTGGCCGTGACCCACCCATTTCGGTGGAGGTTAGAGTTTTGGGGAATAAATATTACATTAGAGGGTAGAGCGACTGCTTCATTAAAAAACCTTGCTCCCCTTCACAAGGAAAAAGAGTGCAGCGCTGAGTTTTTACATTATTGAATGAAAAAAAGGAAAATTACATTGTGCAAGCGCACGCTAAGGTGTCACTAGGGATAGTATTTTCAAAGGTCGTTTATGTCCAAGTGTGAGGTAGTTGGTTACCCTCGCTATCTTGGAGATTGTTTAACAAGATACACACTGATTACCCCGCATAGGAAGACAGGCAACACCTTGTTCAAAACAAGGATGCTCATGTGGCCTGGCGCAAGCGCTTCATTAAGCTTGATCACCAGTTGTCTTCGGATGATGAGGACGACTACGAATCTTCGCTACCCAGAGATGATCACTCATCATCTCCCAACAAAGGAGATCACTCTGCCTTCCCTCCTCCCTTGCCATCAACCCGAGAAGACAAAAGTCTTCGTCTCTTCCTCCTCCATCTTCATCAGCCCCGACAAAAGAGAAGACTCCTCCTCCCGGTCCCTCTTCGTTAGCCCCGAGAAAACAGAATTCTCTTCGTCCTCGTCCTCCACCTCAGCCCAAAACAAGATCAAAGGCATCCTCATAGTCGCAGAAAAGGTCCTTTGATTCGGTCGCTAATTCTCCCAAAGCGGATCGACAAAAAAAGAAAAGGACGTTCAGTGGCAGCATTACAAACTTGCTGAACCAAAAAAGGCAGAAAAATGCAACAGGGAAGATGCTATTAGATTATGGAATCTATTTGCCTCACTGCCTAAGCGGAGGGTGTAGTCTGAATTCGATAGGCAAACACAAAAAAAGAACAATCAATTAAGAGTCGAAGAAATACACCATGAAGATCAAAGGAAGATAAACAAGATTGTCGAAGACAATCCTAAATTCACCAGGGATAAGGCCGCAAACATCTATTATGATTTATGCAAGATGGCAAAACCGACAATCTAGTATCAAAGAGGCAATTTCTTGTTGGCCGACGACGAGTTTAAAAATTTGACAACATATATGTGTGATTTGCATGAATATTACATGGTCGAAGCAACAGAGATGGACCAAATGAGTTTCGAAGTTATTATCCGTCACCCTCTTGTTTTTCATTATCCTCTTGAAGAGAAGCACTTTATCGGTTGGGAGTGCTTGTTTTAGCTATACTAGAGGCGTGATCTCGATACACAAATATTGATGATGTGGACTATATAAGTACCATACACGCACGATATTATAATTAACTACTCTATCGATACACCCATCGTTAACTTTTGAACATTATCCATGATTTATGCAGGTGTGTAGCAAAATATTGCTTAAACAGAAAAACGCTCATATAGCCTTCTTGGACCCTAAGCTAGTCAACGAGAAAACATACGGAGGCATGCATGGAAATAAAGTGAAAGATCTAACAGTAACATTGGTTGCCATTTTTGAAGCTTTCAAAATGAATAATAAAACCAAAATACTTCTATCCTACAACTGCAAGGATGTGTTCTCTACTCTTATTTTTATGCTTCTTTTTTTGTTACAATTATTTGTTAATAACTAGAATTTTATGATTGCTGCAACTATTTTATCTTCATTGTTATCCATATTCGCAAAAATTGTATCGAGGTGTGGGACTTGAGGCAAAAGGAACTTTCTTTGGTCGATCCCCTAATCAAAGTGCTGAATGAGTAAGTGAACCTAATAACATATTATTTTGTAATTGCACATAGCACATTCTAATGTTGCCCCTTTTTCACACTTTATGATGTGGCACAGTGTCTAGGGAAGAATGATCGGTGGCACTAATGTCCCATTCCAGGTTGCACCAATGCAATTGGAGACTCTAAACCAGCCGGTGGGAAACAATGAATGCGGGGCAATGCTTCGCTACCTCGGCGTGAAATCGGAGCAGGCAAATGTTTTGGTGTGTATAATCTACATTTTATTTATATCAGTTAATTCAACAAAACGATCTACTGACATCTCTTACATTTGTGCCTTTCGATATCATCTTTTTTGAATGACAGCGCAAGAAATTTAAACACCAAAGGCTGTTAGACATGGAGATCACAACAGTGTCATCAGAGTTAGCAGCCTTCATCCTTTCCGAGTACTTGGAATTTAACATAACGTTCTCCATTGCACAGTCCGTGAGGTACAAGAACCAGTACGGGATAGAGCGGCTCGCTAGACTATTGTAATTTTTTTTTTTTTTAAGGGATCGAGATCTTGATAAATACATTTGAACTATAATCGTAACATTTGTAATGTTTAATGTTGATGGACATGTCATCTACGTAGCGAAAATAAAGCAAAACTCGATTCCACGAAAAGAATAAAATCAATTAAATTATAAAATAATAAAAGGCGAAAGAGAGATCACTGCCGGTTAGTACAATACCGACAGTGATGGAAAAGAAGGCACTGTCGGTTAATGGCTTAAGCCGACAGTGTTGGTTGAAGCTATCACTATTGGCTTGTCATACAAACCGGCAATGTTGTTGAAGCCAACATAGCCGGTTTGAGCCAACAGCCGGCAGTGATGGCTCGACCAACACATCCAGCTTGAGTAATCATCCGACAGTGTTGGCTTGCTCAACACAGCTGGCTTATGCCACCAGTCGATTGAATTGGCTTGCTTAACACTGTCGGCTTGAGCCACCAGCTGACAGTTTTGCTATGACCATCACCTGTTGGTTGAGGCTACTTATTCAACTTGACACTGCCAGGTGGAGCGCAGAACCGAGACTCTTGCCTGTAGATCAGTATTGGTTTTTAGGAACCAGCAGGATGTCAAACCTCTATCACTATAGGTATGCCACTATCGGTTCAAAATCGGACAGTAAAGGGTTTTTTGAATTGATGCGAAGATCTGGAGTAATGATCCAGGGAGGGAAGAACGCTGTTCTCTTCTTCAACCTCCTCTTCCTCTTTTGACTTGTGACACCAGTATACCACCGCCTCTCGCAACACCCGGACGCACATTACGTCATTACCCGCCATCCACATGTCGGGATTCCTCTTTTCAGGGGTAGTTGACCAAGGAACGGTAGGTCTTGCCGGGCTTCCATGCGGCCGGGATGACGTTGTTGGCGACGAGCACCCTGCCGGAGTCAGAAGTGAGCCGGAGCCCGAACGGCGCATTGAGCTTCCTGCCGTTGTTGAGGCGCCACGTGGCGCCCCAGTTGTGCGCCATGGGCGTCCAGACGCTGCTGCCAGCTTCCATCAGGTCGACGGTGTTGAGGTCGCCGTCGTCGTCCTCGAACTCGATCAGCACGTCGAAGTAGAACGGGTTCGCGCCCTGGTCCACCTTGAACGCGACGTTCACGCCGGGGTACTTGCACGGCACCCTCCTGTACAGGATCCTGAGCACGCCGCCAGCGCGGAGCTTGTCGGACATGCCGGGCCGCGCCATGGCGCCCATGGCGGTGCCGCTCATGTCAAAGTGCTCAACCTCGCCGGGGAACAGGTCGCCAGGGGATTGGTCCGTGATTACGATGGTCACGGGCTGGCAGGAGCACGCGGCGTTGGTCGTGCATTTCACCTCGTAGCAGGCGCCGCAGCCCTCGCCTCCCCTGTACAGCGGCGTGCTCCCGGCGGCAATCATCGAGTCGAACTGCTTCTTTCCGACGGCGGTCTGGTAACCGCACGCGCCGCCTGCATTCACATTTTGAGCCATGGATCCCATGTCAATTCTCGGCTTCTAGTTCCCGAGCGGCCATTGCCTCGTCGGCAATAAGGAAATATATACTAGCACCAGGAGTAGCGCAAAGGCAACTGCTGTACTAACCGTCGCTCCCGTCGCTGTTGGTCGCGCCGTAGTACGTGGCGCCGGCGCCTGTCAACCAGCCACCGGAGCCGTAGAAGATCGACGATGGTGTGGGTGTAGCGGTGTGGTTGCTGCGGGGAGGCTTGGCGGCCACAGGCGCCGTTTTGTAGCTGACCGGTTTCGGCTTTGGCTTGAGCGCAGTCACCGGCCGCCTGTGGCTGGCCGGCTTTGTCTTGGGCTTGCTGAGCTTTCGGGTGCAGGCAATGGGGCTCACTAGGAGTGAGAGGACCACTACTGCCGCCAACAGCAAAGTGCAAAGCTTCGCCATTGCTGCTGTTTTGAAGCTCGGATTTCACAGCTTTCAGAGGAGCTAGTAAGTTCGACTGTTCTTCGGTAAGCTGCAACAGTGGCCACGACGTGGTATTTATAGGGACGCATCAAGAGCTTTGGGGACGATTCTACCTACCGGTCAAATTATTGGGGAGAACGTGGCAAGTTGCTATGTTAGCCGGAAGGGCCTAACCCATTTTTTAATCTGGCAGTACCAAATGGTTAGTGTTGGGATCGAAGATCACCTCGAAATGGGATGTGTACACAATTGGAGAATGGCTTATACACATCAAGGGTACAATTGAAAAACACGTGTAGACAACTTTAGTCCGTTTAAGTGCTAATGTTACTGTCAAAGCCTACAAACACATTATAACCACACCGCAGAGTATGGGTTGTGCGCCATTGAGATGACATTTAAATGATCACCTCACAAACGTTCTTCTGCTATCCTGAGTGGGGTATTAAAGGTGCCAATGCCTTGTGGAGGGGGTGTGGGCCAAAAGGCTATCCCTAAGTCCATATTGCCTAAAAACCAACCGGATCACACTAACATTGAAAGCAGAGAGCGCCTTAGATCTGGCGTGGCTTCGTCTTCACAAACCTTCTTCCGGTGCCTCTCGTGCACCATCCTAACTATGAAAGGTAAGGTGTATTTGCAGGGCCTTCTCCTAGAAAGAGGAATCCTCCTAGGAAATTAAGCTCGAAGGAAGAATAATTTAGAATGAAGCGATTTCTGGACATGGCGGTCTACAACAATTTAATGAAGCCATTTTTGTACATGGGTTTAATTCCTCCGTACGTGGGACTACAAAAGCGCATTCATGGGGTCTATTTACAACCAGAAGCAATGGGGATAACGAGATCTGATGGGGACAATCAAGAAATCAAGGATAGGTGGATCCAGCGGCGTAGGTCACTGCTAGATCATGGATCAACCTAGCAGTGATATTGTGTTGCCATTGCTGAGTCAGAACACAACTTGGCATTGGTATATCACTAGCAGGTGGCCTGGCCTATCCTTGATATCCCCTATATATATCATTGTCGGCTTGTCACTCCTCGGCAGTGACATATCACTCTCAAGTCATGGCTTGACCTGACAGTGAAACGTGGATTCACTGCCGAGTCAGCATGATCCCCAATCATTGTCCAGCTCCTAGGCTTACGACCGAGCAATGAAGCTGGACCATTGTTGAGTCCACCACACCCCTGGCAGTGATGGGGCGACACGGGTTGTGTGTTCTATAGTAGTGTAACATAAGTTAAGGAATCACCTAACCACATAGTAATACAAAGAGGGGGCCTATATATGAATAATGATGTATAAAACACAAAAGTAGTTTTGATTAGTTGTAGGTACTAAATTTACAGACAAACTTCTATTTTTTACTCTATGTGCATTGCATATTGATGGTATGTGTGCATATTGATTTATTCTAAATGTTTGCAAAAGAATGAAAGCCAAAGTTATGTTAAAATGCTCCTTAGATCAGTCATAACTAATGTCTTGAATCTTCTGGTGCTTCACGTGCATGAAGCTGCACAAGTTGTCCTCATTTTCTTAAATAAAAAACTTGTAAACGATCCATATGCTGCAAAGTACACGAATTTCTTGTATATTTGTTCAGGAAGTTTGGTAATATGGTAACAATGGGATATATCAAACTTTTAATTCCCCGCAACTATCATAGCGATGACAGATCACTTTTGATTTCTTGCTAATATCATAGTAGTGACAGAATTTTTAATCCAAATAAAGAAATGGTCAAACGTTAGTTTACACGTGATTTGAGAAGGGATTAGTGTGCCTGATATCATTATTGATTGATGCTAATGAACACCGACATGAAGGCCGACCTATGGATAACGGAGGTGATCACGTTCACCAACCGATGATTGGGATAAAAAATAGAACCCCACGAGGTCACCAGTTAGTTGCGATATAGCATGGATTAATCAAGAATCGCTGGCCATCTTCGTTGTATCCTTCGTTTTCCAGACGCATGGCTGGCTAGCTCATCATTTTCTCGTCTGTAATCAGTTCTCACTTGATCTAGTCGGTGACTTACCTGTCATGCACGAGCCAACGATGCGACCCAGGCAAATGTGCCGATCATTCTCTTGTGCCGGCCAGCAAGGAGAATAATGTCTGATTGCAGCAAAAGCTTTCGCTGCGCTTGGTACTTTTCATTCGCTGCTGACGCTTTGGCTTTGTGCACGATCGCAGCTGAATAAGTTCCTCCTGTTGGGTCATTGCATGCCATGTGATTGGTCGATGCGACGAACCCCTTTATCAAGGCACACGGAATGCAAAGAGCATAAATAAATCGTAACATGCTTGTCAATTACAGAGAGATTCTGAGGTGTTCCAGTCCCTTAGGCGCACTACAAAATGACACCCTCTTTTGTAACGCATATATGTGTTGCTAAAAGTCCATATATGCGTTGGTGAGGTCTATACCAACGCATTATTATGTGTTGCCAGAAGTGGTGTTGCAAGGGTCTATTGCAACACTTACGTATGTGTTGGTGTGTTGGTAACAGTTACAAATAATCGTTGCAAACTTGCAACGGATATTGATGGTTATTGCAACGCTTACATGTGTTTATACTAACTGCGGCTGAATGGTTTCTATGGTTCATTGCTATGTATAGTTTGGAATGTTGCAACGCTTACATGGGTAACAAGGAATAATAAATCATATAATGAACATTAATATTAGAAATTATTATAATTTGGACCCAAATAAATAAATAATCCATTTGCAATATAATGGAAAATTAGAGATCATCTCACACATGAGAAATAAAAAACTCAGCCATATATTAAGCAATTGTTGCATTACAATGAGCACTATTTGAAAAATCCAGGGCACATTTTTCTGCTTACAACATTCAAATGGGAATAAAATATACGAAACACAAATAAGCCATCTACAATGCCACCAACCATCCATTCATCACGTGTTCCTATTTCATCAATCCTGCAAGGAAAAAAGGTGCAACATATAGTAATTATACAAGCATTTTGGTACAATACTGTGGGGGTACGACCCCAGATACCCACGACATACTTAATGAGCCGCGCCCCCAGGGATGGTCCAGCCCACAAGACGAAGCCTTGCGGAGCACGGCGCTGCTCGGCGTGTCCCGCAAGACACCGGGAAGATATCCTGAAGATACTACGAGATCTTTTATGATACATTTAATCCCATGATTCCTGTAATCTGTTATTACTTTCCGGTTATCTCCCAGATCTAACCGACTTGTAACCCTGCCCCTAAACTATATAAGGCAGGCAGGGACCCTCTCAAAACACACGCAATATCATACGAAGCCAATACAAACTAACAGACCTCAGGAGTAGGGTATTATGTCGCGCTGACGGCCCGAACCTGTCTAACTCTTGTGTCTCTGTTGCCTTCTTGTTCTCGATTACACGCATCTGTACCGATCAATCTACCTTCATGGGATACCCCTCAAAGGACTGACGACGATATTCTGTCGACAGTTGGCGCGCTAGGTAGGGGTGTGCATGCTATTTCCTTGTCGAACAAGATGGTACGTTCTGTAGGCTCTTCGTCCTTCCCACAGCTCGGCCAGATCTTCACGGTCGCATCGATCTCCTGGATCATCAAAGCTAACGGAGACGGAGAGATCATCGAGCCGGTGCAGATCGATTCTGCGCTGACTACCCCAACACCTGCGACTGCAGATCCGATCTCAAAACCACCTCCGAGGTCACCTTCACCAACAACTCGCCGCCCGCTCCACCGCTACCCGAGGAAGCAGATCAACAACGACGATCTAATCACATCCATCGACCAGGTTGGCCAGTAGCTCGCCGACTGCCTCTCCATCGTGAAATCGGCTCTGACCACTCTGGTTCAGCGCCGAGCACCCTCCGATTCTGATTCATCGGAGGAAACTCCAGGGGTTATGGCCCTACCCTGTGGGCTCACCAGCACCACCTCCTCCTACCAAGATGCCATAAGGGGCAGATTCACCGACCAGGTGGGAGACATCTATCCTCTCGCCTATTAGATCACCGAGCAGCTCTCGCCAACCGTCAATATGCTGCAAATCGGCCGACGTCCCAAAACATCCCTCCAAACCATCCTGAGGAAAACCTAGACTCTGAGTCCTAGGGCTCTACGGAGACTGTCGCCGAAATCGTCGCCGTCCAACCTCATTTTTCCAATCTTTCGGGGACGTGGGATTTTCAATGTCAACGTTGACAGCCCCCCACGGGACGGGGAAACTGACGAGGACCGCACCGCCGTCGCGTCAACAGGAACGCCGACCATGCGCAGCGTCGAGCAAATGAGGCCGCCATTGAGCTAGCCGAGGCTGTTTGGAACGGAGGACAGCTCGACTCGCAAGGAAGGCCACTCCCACTCCGCTACAACCTCGACGACGAGTTCGTCCGTGTCGACGGCCATGATGTCTACAAGACCCCAAGCGCCAACTTGGCCATGGCCGCTAATGAGCTCGCCCGGCTTGAGCAAACACCAGAGGTCACCAAGGTCGCCACCATGCTTAAAGCGGTGCACTGCCAGGTCAATGAGATCCACCAAGATGAGAGACCTTCCTACTTGATAAGCTCAATTCGCCAATCCGCAGCGCCAAGATCTAATCGCCGCCCCAGCAGAAGCCGTTTCGCTGACCAGCATCATGATGATGGACAACCCCTCCAGGGGGAGCTAGGGGGAACCGCATCGACTACCCTCGCTAACACGACCAAGAAGTCGACCAAGACGTTTGAGCGCACATCAACAATCTCTAGGACGCACGACGTCATATCGATGGGCGCCGTTTCTCTCACCATGAAGAGGAAGTACGCCGGCGTCAAGAATACGAGCAAGAGTTCGGTAATCCAAACACACCCTCCAGCCACTCAATGCTAGCAACGCCGCAGATCACGACAGTGACGATCCTGAAGGGCCCTGAGCATTCACAAGGGCACTCCGAACACTCTAGTGGCCCCGTGGTTTC